GAAAAAACGACATAGTAAAGTATGACTTCCGAAATCAGGAAAAAAAACGAGATGACTTCCGAAATCAGGAAAAAACGACAGTACGACACGTCGAGTAACGACACGAAAAAAGTCATCCATCTATTGTTTTGCTCTTTGTTAATTTTACTCAGTGTGATCTGTTACCTTCCAGGTCCTCCCGTCCCGTTCCCCAGCGTGCGTGTCAGCGGGAGGTCATCGAAGGTCACGTCGTCCTCCATCTTGTTTCGCTTCAACTGCTCCTGGTTCAGCGACGCCAACGGAGCCGTCCGATACTTCGCTGTGGTCGTGGCCGAGTCTGATGGTAAAAAACACGAACATTTCAAACTAGACCAGAATGTTTTTGGTTTTTCAAACAACCAATCAGGTCCAGACTTAGTTTCTTTCTCTTCAGCCAACGAGCTCCTGCAGCCGGAGCAGCGCCACCCTCTGCCCTCCTACCGCGACTACATCAGCAACTCATCCGTCAGAGCCTATCAGACCGCCTACTTCCCCAGCCGCTGTCCGCAGGATACAGAGACCTCTGTTGGACAGGTACGATAAAGACCCCGGCTGCTACTGTGCGTTATTATTTCTACGACTTCAGTCATAGTGATTGATGGTTATCGATCAGGTGGTGGAGATAAACCTGGGGGCAGGAGGGGACCGACTGGGTGGGGCCTGTGACCATTACCACGACGACGACCTCTATCTGAGTGACAGCTACGGCGGCTTCTGTGACGGACCGCTGAAAGCAAAAACATCCTACAGGTGCAAAAACCAGAAGAAACCATTGCCAAGTGTTGATGAGCAAGGCAGCTTTCACTCATACTGACCGTGTGTTTGTTTTCAGGCTGAGTGTTCGAGCCTTCACGAAACTGTTTGATGAAAACCACAGCGAGTTTCCTGAGCCGCTCTTCACAGACACTTTCCTGTCGACGCCGCTCAGGACTCAAGCAGGTGAAACTGAAACACACACACACACACACACACACACACACACACACACACACACACACACACTTCATTACTTATTTCAAGAGACCATCGTTCACTGAAGTGTTCGCTCTTCATTAGAAACGTGTTCATGCAGCTCGTCTCTGAACTGATTCATCACAAACTGATTGAGCTGTGATGTCACCGTTAATTTGAAATGATTGTAAACATGAAACGATGACATCGTCATTTATCACAAAGATTATTTTCATTTTTTCCTCTTTTAACGTATATATTGTTTATAATCTGACGTGTTTCTGCTGTGAAACCGTTTGAATATCAGATTCTCTTCATTGTTTTCCTCGTCTCTTTCTCACCTCACGTCTCTGCGCACAGCAACTGTAGTTTTATGTTCATGTGTGTTGTTCTGTGTCAGAACCTCTAGGTGGCGTCGTGGAGGGTTTGAGTGCTGGGATGTTTCTGATCGGGATGATGGTGGCCGTCGTCTCTCTGCTGGTTTACAGACAGCGGCTGCGCAAAGTGTGAGTGTTAACATTTATTTCTATTTGTTCCATCTTTTAAAACCATTTGAATTCAGTTTTATTATTCTTAACACTGCGTTAATCACTTAATCAGTCACAGACGAGCTCAGAGGCATCGCACCGAATCTGTCAAAACATGTGCTGTACTTACTGAGCTGTAGTTCCCAGGTGTGCCACTAGGTGGTGCCTCTCACCGTTAAGGACCAGGACCAATGATCATCTGATTTAATAAAATAACAAAAGGTCAGGTAGAAAATATGTGATGAATAAAACCAATCGATTTAACATACAGCTTAATATAACATTTATAACATAAAGCTTAATAAAGCACATTGCAGTGAATGTACTCATCGAGTTTCTCATGAATCTATATAAAGAGCTGATGTTCTCAGTGTGTTAGATTTGATTCCACTCATTGTATAATGAAGATGTGATGTGTTCGTATTTACAAATCAAAGTTTCCACTGAACCTTCTGTGTTCAGATGTTTGTTGAACTGAGATGTGAAAACCTCTGATTGCTCAATTTACACTTGAGTAAATGTTTAGTGAACGTTAAATAATCCAAAGATATCAGCTTCCATTAGGTTGGACCTGATCACTAAATGTGTGTGTGTGCAGGGCTGTGCAGGAGAGCCCGGTGGTGAGGATGAGTATGTGGAAGGAGGTTCCAGCTGCTGGCATGTATATGGGAGTCAGGAGGTAAGTGTGTGTGTGTGTGTGTGTGTGTGTGTGTGTGTGTGTGTGTGTGTGTGTGTGAGATCTATGATTATCTTTCTTCAGTGTGAGAGATTAGTTTCCAATAACTCCTACGTCCAATATGTGAGTGTGTGAAGAATTAGTTTCCAATAAAGTTCTCGCTCAGTCAGATTACTTCATCATGCTCCGTCCACAGCAGCTGTTAATTACTGAGTGTGTGTGTGTGTGTGTGTGTGTACACACACACACAGACACACACACACACAGTCACAATAAAATGTCCCCTTTCTTATGAACGACCTCATAGATGTTAATCATTGAAATTGATGATCTATAATAACATGTTTTATTTTCTGTTGCAGTAATCGTCGAGTCACCAGGTGAGAATCTCTCATTTCTGATGAACATTAACAATGAATGAAACATCTGTTTGAATGACAAACATCTGTTTGAATGACAAACATCTGTCTGTGTGCACAGTCTCGTCAAAGCCTGTCACTTCGAGTCCCATCTGACCAAACTTCAGGCCGACTCCAACTACCTGCTGTCTGAGGAGTTTGAGGTAAAACCTTCAGATTAGATCTGATGTCAGTCACACAAACCAATATTTGCTCACGGAGGATAAATAACGCTGGTTACCATGGCGCTGGAGTGTTGACGTCACGCGTCACACGACCAAACGGTGTAAAATAAACTGAACGTACGTTTCCACAGAGACGAGTTCATGTTTAATCACGATTTGATATGATCCTGTTTCCCAGACGACCGTTGACGTGTGTTCCAGTATAAATTTAATTAAATCTCCTCGTTATTGCTGTAACGGAGTTTAATAGGTCAATGAATGATGAGGTGTGGGAAACAAGTAGCGACACTATGATATCACATGATTAATGATGTGACCTGAACAACTGGGTTTTGTAGATATTTGATGACATCATCTTTGGACATTTGGGATAATTCCTAATATCTTAGATCAGATAAGTAATTATTGATCTAATCAAATAAATAAAAAATTAAAGTAAAGCTCAGTAATTCAACTACCAGCGATAAGATGTCAAACTTCTAACATTTAAAAACACACTTCATTAATTTTCAGTATATTTAGTAAATGTGTATTAAAATGTGAATAAAGTTTCGTATAAAAGATAAATCACCCCGTGTGTTCAGGATCTGAAGGATGTGGGTCGGAATCAAACCATGGACGTCGCCCGGCTGCCAGAGAACAGAGGAAAGAACAGATACAACAACATCCTGCCATGTGAGCAATGAATGATCACATCTCGTGTGTTAATTCAACTCGAACTGTGATCGTTAGAAACTTTAATTAACGAGACATCACCTGTTCCCATGGCGACAGTGACCCGAGGTGATAAAAACACTAATAACCTCCTCACTCCAGGTCATATTCAGAATGGAAAACTATCTTTAAATATATTTTTGTTCTTTACTTGTTTTTCCTTCTTTCACTCTGAACTAAGCTCCTGGAATTCATCCTCCACTTAAACAGATTTTTAGAAATGATGCTGTTTGACTTTCAATGATCCTCGTTGAGCAAATTCAATCTGACACGTTAAAGTTTAAAAATAAATATCACATACAAAACAATTGTCACTTTCAAGAAGCTTGTGTGTGAGTGTGTGAGTGAGTGAGTGTCACAGTTTAAATAAAGTGATTACGCCTCACTCAGGTGTAACTGCAGCCAATTTTCTATATAAACAGAAAAACATGATTTGTGACTCGAGGTGAAACATTTTCAACAACGTCTCTATAATTAACTGACACACACACACACACACACACACACACACACACACACACACACACACACCCTGAATGTGATTTAATGTGTTTGATTTTCTAGATGATTCTACCAGAGTAAAGTTGTCCTACCTGGAGGACGACCCCTGCTCCGACTACATCAACGCCAGCTACATCCCTGTAAGTAAACAACACACGCACACGTTAACAACATGCACAGTAACATAAGGTACTGACCTCTGTGTGTGTGTGTGTGTGTGTGCAGGGTAATAACTACCGCAGGGAGTACATCGCCACTCAGGGTCCGCTGCCCGGCACCAAAGATGATTTCTGGCGGATGCTCTGGGAGCATGGCGTCTACAATGTTGTCATGGTGACGCAGTGTGTGGAGAAAGGACGAGTGAGTCACAGTAAAAAGATGTTGTATCGCCCTGTCGATGGAAGAACCGTGTTCTTGAGATATTTAACTTGTATATTTACACTTGTGTCAAACATGATCATTTCATTTATCCTAAGCTACTGACAATAAGAGCATCAACCACGACAGCAAACCAAACAACGAGGATCAAGTTCATTAGCTTCAAACGAACCCGACAGAGTGCTAAACTTAATTAAATGCACAAAGTGGCTCTGGATAAAAAGCATCTGCCAGATGACATGTGATTAGAAACTCAAGAGACACTTCTCACTTTAACCAGAGAAGACGTGAGTTTAACAAAGTCTCTTAACTTCACAGGTAGACAGAAAAGATTAAAGCCCTTTAAATCTAACGTCCTCAAACACTCAGTGGAACTAAATCCTAGAATTCAAGACAAACAGGAAGTCTAGTTCACCTTGTTCTATCAGAATAAAGTCCGATGCACACAGTGTGAACCTCTCATGTCTGCAGGTGAAGTGTGATCAGTACTGGCCGGCGGACAGAGAACCTCTGTACTACGGTGACCTGGTCATCCAGATGCTGTCGGAGTCCGTCCTGCCGGAGTGGACCATCAGAGAGTTCAAGATCACCTCGGTAACGACTCGTTAACTCCTCCGGTCACTCATCACATGTACTAATTAATAACCAGTGCATATCCTGTGTCTCAGGAGAGCAGTTACCCTCGGGTGCTGCGTCACTTCCACTACACCGTGTGGCCCGACCACGGAGTCCCGGAGAGCACCCAGTCCCTGATCCAGTTCGTCAGGACGGTCCGAGACTACGTGGACCGATCCCCCAGCACCGGAGCCACGGTCGTGCACTGCAGGTGAGACACCGTTTAATTTAACAGCTTCTAAGAAACAACTTTACGTCTGATATGTTTCTAGAGAATGATTCTCTCGTGTGGCGTCGTTTTAAAACTCCAGTTTATTCGGTAAAGCTCATGTAAGTTATGTTGGATAGCAGCGTCTTAAAATAATATTCTATTTATTACCTGCAAATGAATTCATGACATCGTGGTCATTTAAAATTCAGGTGTTTACGTGTGTGTGTGTGTGTGTGTAGTGCTGGTGTTGGACGCACCGGGACCTTCATCGCACTGGACCGGGTTCTGCAGCAGCTGGACTCTAAAGGAACCATCGACCTGTACGGCTGCGTGTTCGACCTCCGCCTGCACCGTCAGCACATGGTCCAGACCGAGGTACAGCGTGCACACCGTCTTTTCTCCGTCACACAAACGACAACATATGTTGGATTAAACTCGACTCGCAGCAACAACCTGAAAACACCTGATGATCTTCATCCAGTTTCATTTTTAACAAGCAAATAAACAGAAAACTGTCTTGTACTCAAACCGGTCGCGGTCTTAATAATGTTCAGGCAGTGACTCTGGAGTCACACAGGTAATAATCACGCTGTGTGGCGTTGCAGTGCCAGTATGCCTTCCTGCACCAGTGTGTGCGGGACGTCCTGAGAGCCAGGAAGCATCGCAGTGAACAGGAGAATCCTCTCTACCCCATCTACGAGAACTTCAACCCCGAGTACTGCCGCGGTAAGAAACACGAACCTCAGCATCACGATCTTTAGACCGACTGAACAGAGAGTGACTGACTCCAGACCTGCTGCTACCATCAAACGATGTTCACTATCAAAGCTGGAAGCAAACGTTAAATGGGTAAATGACGGAAATGAAAAGTAAATCAAACTTTTGCAGATATTCAGATTCTCATGACGATTAATATGATTTATATTAAAACGTTTCAACGATGGGACTTGTGGCCCGAACATTTGAAAACAACTTTTCAAAAGCATCAAATCTTAATTTAAGCTAGAATTCAACATTTCTCCATTTTTAAATCATTGATTTTCAGATTCACTGAATCTTAGGTCAGAAATCTCACCTGTGTTTTCGTGTCTCCTCAGATTTCATGTACACCGGGCGTTAAAGTGTGGACGTCGTCCGTCTGTCGGAGAGAAGAAACGTTTCTGTTCATCCTGAAGAAGTTGAAACCATCTGAGCGAGAAGAGAGCGTGAGCTACACATCGGACCAAACCACCATCTGAGCAATAAAACCATTTATGATGTGAAGTCGTTTTAAATTCACCTCAAACTGCTGATTTCAGATTTAAACACAATTCAACACGTTTTCTAAGATTTCAGGGAAGTTGGATTATATCCGCTTCACTCCCGTTTTTAATTTCTCCAAAGTCACATTTAGAAAATGGTTGGAGGTGTGTCTAAACATTAAAGCTGCTCCACCATATTTGTTCCACGTGGATCTTTGCCAGCGTGAAAAATAAAAACCCCAGAACGTAAATGAACCCATGTCTTTTATGAGTTTGGAACCGGCTGTCAGAACCAAGTCTTTTGGTTGTTCTCAGGTCTTTGGGTTTTAACAAGATTATTAAAAACATGTGTTTTTCCAATCTGACGTCAGATCACCAGCTAATATTAATATTGACTGATCACAGGGAAGGAAAGAGCATCCTCACATTATTACTGTATGTTCTCACATACTGAGACTTATAAGCTGTTTATTTAAAAGGTCACACATATTGCTGTATGTAAATATTGGTGTAATACTTGTTTTTATACAATAATGAATATATACCATGTTATTTTAACTGTGGGCGATGGTTCAGAAGTTGTAAGTGAATATAAACTGTCCCTGTTTTCAAACTTCAGTGAAATTACTGCTTTTTTAAATTCTAAAACATAAAACTTGTTTTAAACGTTATCATGAAAGTGGAAGTTTGAATATAACGCAGAACTTTTATGTGGTTTTTACTTATTGACTGTGGTTAAGTTACTTTTTGGATATTGGCTTTGTAAATTGTTTTTAATCTTCAAACTTGTGCACATTAAAAACAGGGACATGCACACACATGCAGAGAAGCTCATAACTTTTCATATTAAACACTGTATTTATTAAAATATATAAAATGTATAATCGGATTGTTTTTCTTTTATTTCAAAAGTATTAGAAGTTCACATTTAAAGTATTTGGTATGTTCTCATTTCTTTGTCTTTTACTTTCCATGTTTGATTTGTTTTTCAAAAGCACAATTGGTTGGTTTTGTTGGATTTTTGAAAAGAAAATGGGGATTTGCAATAATTAAAAACATTGTGATACAACACAAAAAACTGTTTCTATAACTGGAAAGTTAAGAGAATGTAATCAGCACTTTTTATAAAGTTCTGTCTCTCGGCCGTCGGATCAATATCACACTGATTATAATTAATTCATTGATGCCAAATAAACATTGTTGACAAAATAAGTTCCACGTGATTTATTGGATATTTGAACGGAACAGTTTCCGTAGAGAATCAGTCGCATTGTGTTGTGACACTTTAGTTAGAAAAATCATTTCACATGACACAATTCTAATCTCTGACATTTCATAATTAACTTTGACTTAAATCTTTCACACAACTTGTTTCACTTAAATATTTTTTTCATTCATATTGATAAATCTAAATTGCTTTTAAATTATTTTTTTTTTACAAAACTTAAAAAAACATTTATTTTATATACATTTTATTTATTTTTAAGTTTTGACTTTATCCTGCAAACCTTTTATAATTAATCCTTTTATTCATTTTAGTTCAGAAACTGAAAAAAGTTACGAAAGTGAAAGTTTTTCAGCGACTGTGTCTAAAAGTTTAGTGCACCTGTTGTTGACAGTGACGTGAGACAGTGACGGTCAGTGAACCACAGAACATGAAGTGACTCCAAAGTAAAAGAAGAAGCTGCAGCTGCTCTTTCTCTCTCGTCTGCATCTTAGATCCTCAAACTTGTGATCTCCATATTGATCTAGGACAGACTGAGGCCACAGCAGAACTGGGTAACCCACATGCAGCAGCTATCAGGGGCTTAGACGCTCTAAGTCCCTGTTACAGCGGCCGAGCCGAGTCCGATTCCCCTCGGGACCGAACATCCAGCTCCTCCTCCCTCTCTCTCTGGCAGAGATTTATTCAGAGGCAACGTTAGAAAACCTGCGACGTCCCACAGAGACACGTTTCTAACATTTAACAAAGTGCACAAACACACGATTTAAAGGAACGAACAACAAGAACCAGGACATGAAGACCGAGGCCTGAACCACGACAGTCCACTGTCCCACTGTCCCACAACTAGTCAACACCTCGAGGACCCTTCACAATAAAAGTCCCATACAGATACACTGCTTATGATGACAGGAAACACAAATTCACTGACCAACCTTCCACAATAAGGCAACTTAATAAAATAGTTTACATAAACTACTTTTAAACCACCAAACGTTAAACTATAAAACTAACTGGATATTGTTGATGGTAATAAGAAATGATTCAGTTCATTTCTTCTATATTGTTTGTTGTGTGTCTTTTTCCTTCTTTCGTAATCATGAAAAGTGTGAAACTGTGATGATTCAAAATTTCCTATTGTGACGTCACAACTATTGTCATGATTCATTGTTTTGTAGAAAAAAAATTAGAACATATTTTTTTTTCCACTGATTTGATCAAATCTGTATAATTTGAGACGGTTAAGAAGCAAGAACCTGAAATCATTGTTTCAAATTATTTTTTAGAGGTCTGATGGTGAAACTTTCCATTTATTAGGGGAATTACCTTTTGGTTTCATTTCACACTCATTACTTTAATTATGTCTTTAACTATAAACTGTCACAAAACAGCCTGTTAGGATTATTACCCAGAACTTAAAGACACAAAAGACGGAATTATTCACTTCATAATTATATCAAACATTACGTCAAGAACGAGCAGGTTATGACATATCTTATTATTTCTATTTTGTCGCAGCTCTATTCATGATATCAGAAGATATAGATTAATGAGAGAAGTTAGAAAATAAGAAAGTTGATATTGTGTTTACACTTCTGAGATGAATCTAAAGTTTCAGCTGGTGTTTAAAACCCAGACTGAGTTGAGGAGGGAGCTCAGCGCTGCTGATCCTCAGGGTTTTAATGGGCTGAGGAGGAGGAGGAGGAGGAGGAGGAGGAGGAGGAGGAGGAGGAGGGGGAGGAGGTGGAGGAGGAGGCGCCTCACTGTGAGTTCAGGTCTGGACAGAAGAGGTTTTAGAGGAGTCAGAGGGGCGGAGTCAGTCTGCAGGTTTTCAATCAGCGAGCTGCACAAAGTTTCTGATTCAGACAAGGAGCAATTAACAGTGTGGGCGGAGCTAACACAGGGTTTGTCTCCGAGATGTGACGACAGACGTGACGTGATGATTCCAGGAAACTGCTCAAGACCAGACTTTCATGTTCTTACGTCACTCTCTCTGTTTACAAAACACGATGCTGTGACGTCACATCTGTAACTGACTGTGCACAGGTTAAAGATGGACGACAGCACGAGTCCTTCCTCTCCTTCATCGCTCCTCCTCCGTTACTGTGACGTTTCCAACTGTATTTCAAGAAAACTAAATTCTACAACTTCATCTTTCAACAATGTTTTCGAGCCGGATGGAAATAAACTTTTCAAAAGCTCGAGCTGATTGTTTCCTCTTTTAAATAATAGAATTCATATAATAGAATAATTCAAACCTGAGTCACAGTTCAAGTCAAATCTCAGAGCAAGAAGCAGAAAGTTCAATAAACGAAGCGACACGAAGCGACACGAAGCGACACGAAGCGACACGAAGCGACACGAAGCGACACGAAGCGACACGAAGCGACCTGAGCCGAGACTCACCCGAGGGACAGAACCGAACAAACCGGAAACACAACACAACACAACACAACACACACACACACACACACACACACACACACAGTGGATTAACTTTACTCACCATGTTTCCGGATGAAGTTCGTCAGTAAAATCCAAATCTGCTTCCTGAGGAACCTCCAGCAGGTTGTGTGTTCGTGTCCCCTTGTGTCTTTGTCTCCTTGTCTCTCTGTGTCTCTGTGTCTTTGTGTCTCTGTGTCTTCGTGTCCTCTCTGGGTGTAAACAGGTCCCATCAGACGAGCAGGTGAAGTTTCAGAGTCATGATTAGAAAACATCTGTTCACGAGCTCGACGTCAGCTGACAAACAAAAGCCGCCGCATGCTAACACATGCTAACGCAAGCTAACACAGCTGGAGAGCAGGAAGTGATCCAGCGGTGAGGAGAGAGCCAATCACAGCTCTCAGAGGGGAGGTCTGAATCACCTGGATCGCCCCCTGGTGGCTGGGTGCGGTATCGCTCATAGACCTCCCTCGTGTTAGCGGACGGGACACGGACCAAACTGAAGGAATCAGAGAAGATGTTACAGAAATGTTTGTCGGATAAAGATGTTTCTGTCATTTCAGGAAGTTCTCGTCACGGGAAATAAGCGGAGACCGACTCCTGATTGGTTGAGTTCATGTTCCAGCCGGACCTGGAGTCGTCCATCTTTATTCTCAGTATTTACACATAGTGACCTCGCTCCCTGAGCAGGCCCCGTCTCAACTCGTCTTCTACAACCTCTACATGATCCACACCCCATCGTCGGGTTGTTCTGGGTTTAAAGGGAACATGGAAGCGTCAGGGATCAGAGTTAATCCTGGTTGATCCTGCATCGATAACACAGACACATGATTCACTGTGGTGTGGAATTAACGCTGCCGTCCAAGAGGAGACGGGTCAATATGTGTATGTGCACGAGAGTCATTGGATATTCATCGATTGCAGAGAACGAGTGGTCTGACTTAGACAATACAAGAGAGAGAGAGAGAGTGTGTGTGTGTGTGTGTGTGTGTGTGTCGTCATTCAGCTCCCTCCATTTCGATGGGATTTGTGAAACAACAGGAAGGAGAGGACAGATGAGAGGAAGGACACACACTCGTCCAAACAAAGCCACATTTCCCTCAGACCTTATTTATTCGTCTGTTCTGTCTCGTCCTCAGATCGTTTGTGTTGTTTCCATTTGATTAAAAAGTCAGTAGCAGATTGTGATGTTCGTGTTTTCCTCATCTTCATTCCAGTGAATCAAACCAAACTATTCTCGTCTTTGTCTGACAACATGAGTCCTTCTCTCCGTCCTCGTCCACCAGGGTCTGAGTTCAGTGGGCGACTCACTGATGAGAAAATCCCACCATCATAACTCTGCACCGGTGTCGGGACGTCTCGTATTGACTCAGTGTTTCTCCGAGGCTGATGAGGCGTACTGTAAATAAATTACACAATCGTTAACGTCATTAACTCGACGTGCACAGAAAGATGGGACCAAGAAAAACTAATGATGTTTCAGTTTCTCTAAATCAGACGTTTGCTTTATATTATATTTCTTTGAGAAACTTGAGTTCAGCATCTAAATGTATTATTTAACTCACAAGTTCTGTCTCTAGAGGTGAAAATAATAATAATGTTAACCCACAGATGGTTCCTACAGAAGTGAGCATACTATGAATATTTTCACTACAAATAAACCTGAACAGAATCGATGTATGATCACAGGAAGAACTCCCTGACTTCTCCAACTGATGAAGACTTGTGGTTAAAGTCCTGATAAAATAAAGACATGAAAACTAAAGAGAAACAGAAGAAGCTGCAGAGCGACTCTGAGTTTGAAGACAAAACCTATTTTATTTAAAGATCTCTATCAGGCACTAAAGTTATCATCGTCATCGTTAGTACGGGCGAAGCGGCTACCTGGGTCACATGGTACAGTTCAAAGAGATGGAAGACGACACAGTGCAAAGATCACAGGGAAGATTCAACACGACTGGAACACGTGGATGAAGGACGGAAACACAGTGAACTTAGTTCTGACATTTTACAGTGTAAATAAACTCAGAAGGAAAATACGTCAGAAAACAAAAAAACAAAAGCAGATTTGAAAGAATGACATTTTCCACTTTTGTCATGAAGAAGCAAAACACAACTTGAAGTTGCTACTGGAGTTCACAGCTTAGCTTATGGCTTCAGATAGAAAAGATCACATTATTCATCTCGGACATTAAGACACCAGCAGTTCATTGAAAATACACAGAGATGCTACAGCGCTGCTACATCGTCTCTGCAGAGGACGGACGATTCAAGAGAAATCCAGAAAAAAGACGACAAAAGGTTTGTTCATTACAGAGAAACAAGAGAAATGAGTCTGATTCAGTCGAGTGTGTTCCCTGTCGCTTAACTGTCACCGTCTCGGAAACTGAGTGAGTTTTGGTTCAAGGAGGAAAGTTTCCATATGAGAGAAAGGAAGAAGGAAACAAAGAAGGAAAGGAGGAAGGAAAGGATACGTGAAATGAGCTAAATGTCCTTCAACGCTGATCATTTTCACGAAG